AATCATGCACAAAAGCCCCATCAAGAACAAATTTTACAATTTTGAAATCACTTTTCTTAATAATATGATTGAATATGCAAGTAACTTTGTCAAAATATCTAAATTTTGCAAAAAAAAAAATAATCATTTTTCATTTTTATGACAATTAAATTTGTTCATAGAAGGAGTTTTGCGCATGAATAATCATAATTCTTAACACATTGGGTTTGACACATTTTTTAAATCACAAAGGACTAAAAGAATTTGTTGCATTAAGCCCTATTATACTTCTTACAAGATTAGGGTGGGTAGATCACTATCACTAGGGTTGTGCATTAACTTGGTCGGACTGTATTTTAGACCTGAACCGGACCGGAATGAACCGATCCGGACCGGTATTAACCGGTCCGGGTTTCGGTCCTTGGTTTGTCAAGATTCCGGGTTCCGGTCCGGTCTGGGTCAAACCCGGAAAAAACAGGTCCGGATCGGAATGGACCGGTAACATATTGTTCTGTAAAATATATACTTCGTTTTGTATCAGTAGTCATTATGTTTATGGCTTACTTTTGTCTTTTATTATATAAACGAATATATAAGGAGTGAATATTTGGTGTCTAATTATTTCCTAAGGTTTTTTTATTTGTTTATTTATGTACAGGTAGGTGTGCACTACTATGGTCGTAGTTTATATTTGTTTGGTTTTTCCAAATTGCTTTTTTTTGTTTACTTTTTGTTTATAATGTAGTTTATTTAAGATTGTAATTTTAATTATTGTTGGAAACTAATTGTTACGAGTGAATAGTTTTGATGACTATATTCCGAAATTAATAAATGAGGTTAATGAACTAAACAATTATTTAGTCTATTTAGCATATCCGCACATAAAATTATAATTTGAAACAACATTCAAGCCTTATCCATAAAAAAAATTTGGGGTCAACTAAGAACACTCTAAGATAATATGTTTTTTAAAGGGAATTTATCGCAAAGAGTCCAAAATGTAAAAAATAATATCACTTTTTTCAACTTTCAAAGTTGTTTTCAAAAATAGACAAATCAAAGTTTCCTTTCAATAATAGACTCTAAGCCAACGGTAAGCACCTAACATCAATACCTTAGCGGCTTAGCTAAGCCTTTGTACATACGGTTTGTATCCAAACCGTTTATAGAAATGAATCAAATGATAAATTCTAAATAATACGTATATAATAACAAGTGTTACAAATACAAAACTAAAAAAACCTAAATATTGAGATTTGTTTTAAAAAAAATATTAACTACATTTAAAATACTAAAAACGAAAAGTATGAAATGTTATAGAAAAAACAAAAGTAGAAAAAAATTATGAACTAAAAAAACTAAAAAAATTATATATTCATAGAATACTAAAAATGAAATTAGATTTTTAAAAATGTTGATCTGAAGCTAAAACCGAAATTAAAAAAGAAAGAAAAAAAATAAAAAATTGAAACTACTAACAAAGTAGGAATAGTATCTACAAATTCTTATAAAAGAATAAAAAAAAATATGAATATATACAAAGAAAAACAATCTATAAAATTGATATATATATATATATATATATATATATAGGTAGATAGATTTTTAAAATATTTTAAAAATCCAGAATAATTTATAAAGTACAAAATAAATAGAGATAATAACTCATAAATTTGAAGAAAAAAACTGAAAAATAATGTAAACTATAAAGAGTGTAAATTTTAAAATAAAAACTAGAAAATTCAAAAGCGTGAAGAAAGAAAATATTAAACATGTAAAAAAGTTAACATTATATAATAATAAAAATAATAATATATTACATAAAATTATTAAAAAAGGAAAATTAAAGTAACCTATAAGAGAATAAAAATATGAAAAATAAAATAAAATAATGAACTTGAAAAAAAATAAAACTGAAAAAAAAAATGCAAATTTTCTAATGAAACCTTTCATGAAGTGCTCAAATTTTAAATTGTAATTTTTTTTATAATTTTATTGTTAGCTTTGTTTCCTATGATTTCTTTGTGTTTCTTTTTGTTGATAATACTTTTAGAATTTTTGTTTTTTTCTTGTTTCTCTATGTTTCTAGTTGTTGCATGTTCATATTCATTATTCGAAATTTAACATTTTAGCTTTTTTCTCTTTTCAATTCTTCAAAAGTATTGACTAGGTGTTTATATATAAATCTATATAAATGCTCTATTTCAAGGATGTAAATAGAAATTCAAATAAACAACAAAAATCTAAATAAACAATAATAAGAAACACAGTGCAAAAAAAAGTAACAAATCGAAACAAAATGCAACAAGATGCAACAAGATGCAACAAAATGCAACACATGTAATACAACAAAAAGAAACAAAAAATAATATATAACAATATCACAACAAATATACAATTCCATCTATTATTTCAATTTAATACATTTATCTATTATATTATTTGGTTTTACTTCTTTTCATTTCTTCTTCAATATGTCACCCGTATTGACACCAGCATCGGTGTCTCTCTCCAAAGAGGCATCAAATTTCTTCCAATCTGGATTGTGATTCATTATATCATCGATTGTGGTTCTCCATACTAGTTGATGGTACTTCTTCCCTGCAAAATACCAATCTTTTAAGTAGAGGAAACACTCAAAACACTTGGAGAGAGCTAACCCTTTCCAACTTAATTTTGATTTTTGGCATCATTCTCCCAAATAGCAATCCAGGACTTAGCAACAAACAACAACGGCAGCTTGCATAACAAAATACTCGTGCAAAGATAAAGTTGAGGAAATTGCATGACAAGAAAGAACAAAAATAGACCCTACAGATTGAATCTATTCTTACTCTTTATATGCCAAGAATACTGCAAATGAGATATAGACATGGACATATAAGTGATCAAACTTACTAAGCAGGCAAAGTAAGCATACCTGTGCTAATTCAGAATCTTCCTCCAGAACCGAGCTCCAAAGCATTTCCATATCGAAACCTATGTCACCTGGAACATCCGAGGTTGCTGTTTCTCCACCATCGGACTCCGGCAACTTCTCCAATGACTGATGCTTAGCACTCTCTCTCATTAACCACCATCATCGCAATTCAAGCCAATCCACACATCCAGCAAAATATATAAAACTTAACTAGCAATTGTATTAACACTTGTGGTCATCTTCTAAAAAGTCATTCGTCATTGGGAAGTACATTTATACTACCATATCATATACAGAAACTCACCCAAACACTATATCGCCCTAACTTTGCTAGGAAGTTGTCAATCTATGGTAGAAGTGTATGAGCATGATTATGATTAACCATACCTATAACAAACACAAAAGCCAAACTATTGATTAGTGAAGATGATCTGTGGCATATATTATAGGCATGTGAATTACATTTTCATGAATCCATTCAAACAGACATACAAATATAGATTATATTGAGATGTAAATCAAGAGAGGGAGGACAAAAAACCTCAACCAAGTTTGATGTGGATAACAATTTGCTAGGATGAAACAGAACTATAAAATTATGAGGAATTTGGTGCCCGAGTGCGGATCTGTGTTCTCAATTGAAATAGGACTGTTGTGAGTGCACAGAATCTAGCGTGGCTCGAGAGCCGTAAGGTCTATATTCATTCTCCCTCCCATACACGGCTATCAACAACACTAAAACGTCACTCAAATTCAGGATCTAGAATCGACGATTCCTTATACTCCGCTATTCTCAAGCTACGCGTGAACCAACAGAACAAATAATGGTGGAAAATTGATGTTGTCGGTCCTTCAAATTTGGCCTTTTGTTCTAGATTCGAATTACAGATTAGAGAAAGTGTATTGTATCATGTTGATTGAATCATGTATCTGAGAGAGGTGGCGGCGCTGTGATTGAAGTGAAGCTAAGAGGCGGTGGCGCAACGATTGGGGTGTAGTTGAGATGATGTGGCGCTGTGATTGAGATGATCGAAGTTGAGAGAGGCGGTTCAAGAAATTGATTTACTGAGATGGAAGATGGATTGAAGCTGTGAGGAAACGGAAATAACAGATTTGTAGAAGATGATCGGAGATGCAGAACTTCGTAACTTTACTCTTCAACCTCACAAGTCTGCCATTTTTGTCGTTTAATTTGGCTTTTTGTTATGTATAGAGCTTCTAGACGGCGAGATGTTGAGTTTGGAAACCTGGGTATTTTCTTGTTTTGGATTTACTTTGATAGTTTGATGGCAGGTTTGGGCTATTTTTGAAATATAGAATTTGTAGTGAAAATTTGAAAGTTAGAAGTAAAAAGTATTTTAAAGGCGGACATAAATGAAATGCTAGAGTGCTAGACAGAAAGTGACTTGTTCCGGATATTTCCACTTTTTAAAAACCGGGTCAATTAGGGTCAAAACCGGACCGGACCGGAAGATTCAGGTCCGGACCGGTTTGGACCGGTTAGATTCAGGTCCGATCTTCGGTCCATAGAAAATGATGATTCCGATTCCGGTTCCGGTCCGATTTTGGACCGCTGCACACCCCTATAATATCACCTACTCCATATTTTGACGGGGAGAAAATGTCTCAATCATCCCCACCTCCACCAAGCCCATATTCCCATCCCTGGCCATGACAACTTTTTGTCAAACAATAATTACATTCTTACTAAAATTGTTACTTAAAGTAGAAGGGTAATACTCCAGAAATATACTACTCCGTATAATAGATTAGAAAGCCCAACAAAAAAAAGTAAAAGTATTTTCCATGAATCCCATTTCAGAATGTGTACAGTTCAGAACGGAGTGAGAATCGGTGCAGTGTGCTACATCAATGATCAAACACTAGTGTTTGTTACTCCAAACTCTAATGCAACCTATGGAATATCAGAACCTCCATCCAAAATTTTGCTATATTTCTTCTTGCAAGTACACCTTCGACCCCTTTCCCATAAAATAACATCATCAAACCTTTCCCACCTCACTACAACCATAAATTTTACCACAACCTCTTATTTGGTAAGGGCTATTTGGCTGAAATAACTGAGGTTTCTGATTATTTTGCAGAGAACATGCCGAATCATGAAACCAAACAGAGCCTAACTCATGAAACATTATTACTGATGAATCTCATATCAACTGAACAAGTTTTGTGTTACAAATCTTTCAATGAGAGATAAGCACGGATAGAATGTCTACCAAGAAAAACAGAACATGAAAACCTAAGCAACCACCATGAAGGTAGGGATAAACACATGAATATAAGCTACAGGTACAATTCTATCGTGCATTGCGGTTAAGCAAACCTTGGAACAATGTATAAAGATCCTTGTTATCCTTGCCAAATATATCTTCCGCTTTCCTCAAAGTTTCCTACAAGATTTTATCAGAATCACAATAACAACCAAGTTTTAATTCAAAAAATAAAGTGTGAAATCATTATTTTCACCTCACGAGATTGCTTATGTGCATTTAACTCCTTTATGTTAGCCAAAAATGCACTGAACTGCTCGTACGATAGACGACTCCTGAATCAAGAAGCAGCAAAAATAAGTAGAATGCTATCTCAATGTGGAATCAAGTTAGATTGAGGTAAAAAAAATTGATATTCACCTGGCTTGACGAAAGAACTCCTTCCCATCTATTCGAGGAGTTTGACCTTTAAACATTGTAAAACGTCAGAAAACACATAAAAAAACCGAAAATAAGCAGGTTACCGTATTATAAATCTGCAACAAATAGAAATAGTTTTGAAGAAGAAAAGTTTCTGTCCAAAAAATCTGCACAAAGGAGCTTGCAAACCGCAAATGCTCTTCTTACTCAAGGGAAAATACAATTGAGACGAATAAGGGGAGGGAAATGAGTCAGATGTATTAAGCTTTAAGGCTTCATCTGGAAAACAGAAAACTACTGGGGAAAGAAAGTAGGGGAGGAAATAGGGGAAAATTGGATGGAAAGACAATGTAAGAAAGAGAAAAAGTTAGAGTGTTAGAAAATGTTAGACTTAATCTCATTTGGATATTTGTCAATATAATTTTATTTATTATGTCTATAAGATTAAGATACCATGCTCCGTGATTTGCATGTTGGTCTGCTCGCAATATCAATTTGTAATGGACAAGGAAAAAGAAAACATCTCAATTCATCAATGTTTCGTGATATTTTGCATGCATTTCATGATATACTGCATGAAGGACATCCAGTACAAAACATTGTATCTATGCTTTAGAAGGAATATACTATGTATATTTTTTAGAAATTAGAAGGAATATAAATTATTTATTGATTGATTAACTAATTTTATACAATTCATTGGAACTAATAATCTCACGCCAATTACCCTGACAATAAGAACATAAGATAACAACTTTCACTAGCAGTCCCCCACCCCCGTCCATAGCATTTTACTGAATCCAAACATACCCTAAAAGACGACTTTGAAAGATATCAGCAATTTAAACCTGACGTAGGGCGTGATCTTGGTGGTGAGTTTGCAGCTGAAGATTGTTGACTTGATGGAAAAAAAGACGACATTGAACCCCGACCCTCGTAATGAGAATTTGTGGGCGATGTTGCGCCAGATGCTATGTGAGGAGACTCAGCAGCAGAATATCGCCTGGGAGATACACTAGCTGATGCTACCTTTGGCGTTCCAGTTGGGGTAAGCCGGGGTGTTATGTAAGGCGTCACGGCAAATCTTTGAATAGATTGTTTTGATGCTGCGAACCAAAAATATTTTATAAAATAAATAATTAAAAATTAACAAGCTTCCAATGCTTCACAACATGCAAGATAAATTACTCCCAACAGTTTACAACTAGTTTTGAATGGCAAGTTGGGGTATCAAGGCAGTTTGTTTTGAATGGCAAGTTGGGGTATCAAGGCAGTTTGTTTTGAAGAGATGAGACATAAGTCTTGAGGCATAAGCTTCAATATATACCAACAACTAAGACTTTTGTAGTTCTACAACTAAGTACCAACTAAAGATATGCATAAATATAAGACCTGACTCCAGAAATTTTTAAACACAAAATACATGACAATGATGACATGATCAAACACCATAGTACACAAGAAGGAAAAAAACAGACATTCTTCTTCATCATCCACCTCATTTACTTATTTTTTGCTTATATATCCCTTGAGTATCAGTTTCTTGCTTCAACTTTATTTAGTTTGAGTTTAATCAACATCTAACGCTTCCCCTACAAAAACATCACCATCAAGTACACCAAGGCCATCTCTTAAAGTGCTTGGTTCACCATCATCTTCACCACAAGACACTGATCAGATAGGTGGCTTCTTTTTTTATTCGCTATTAGGGTATAGAGAGTATACGTGTACTATCTTTTACTGTATGAGCCTAATTACTTACTTTTCTCACAGCTGGAAAGAAAAACAAAGAATCCTGCCTCAAAAAACGCCCTAAGACACACCTCAAGGCGTATGCCATGACAATTCGAGGCATAAGCCTCGAGTGCAAGAAGGGATAAGCATCAATACCCATCCTGACTTTCTCACCTTGAGGCACGCCCCAAACTACACAATTTTAACTGTGGTGCACAACAAGTGTTACAGTGGAGGAAATTACGCATGTTAAGAAATCATAAATGGAACTTGTTTATTAACATTACTCCACTTAAAACACTCCTAATATCATTGAATTTGTTGCATTGGTTCAATAACGGGCGAATGGGAAAATGGCATTTAATGTTATCTTGGTTTTATAAAGTGATAAGTGTGTCACAAAAAAACAAATTGCCCTAAATAGCAGTAAAATTTGGAATTCTAAAACAAGAGCACTACGTTTTTATTCTCTAGATATGAGTAATTACTGTCATGTTCGAAAAATACTCCCAATTATGGCAGTATAATGACATACTACATATTTAAAGCTTGGTAATGCCAAAATATGACACTAAAACATCAGGATGGCAGGATGTTACTCTTGTTTAGGGAAAGAATATAGCACTCCTATTTTTGGAATTTTGCATTGATTTTACTAATAAGCAGCGCTTATCATGAACTACAAGAAATAAAGAAATATACCATCATCATTGACACCTGCACTCTCTTTAGCCCCATTAAAGGCATATTGTGAGATGTAGCCATTAGCAGCATCTGAGAGTTAAGGAGCTAGCCCATTAGAATACAAATAACAAACCTAGACACCTTCTCTACTAGGAAAACCATGTATGAAGGTTCAATGAAATGAGTGCAAAACACAAACACTTGAAAAATACTCATCTGGCACAGAAAGCAGAGACTTGCCTTTAGGAGAAAGTGACTTTGCAGCTAATTGATCATAAGTGCCAATATCAACTGCTTCTGATTGCTGGTAATCATTAGAAAGAATCAGTATTCAGTACTTCGCTAATTATAGGAACAATTTTATGCTTGTTAAACAAAAAGAGCCTCTAGACTGCAGCAAATGCTTATGTAAAACATAAATGAGGTAATAATAGCCCGTTTGGTAAACCCCTTTTTTGACTTATCAGCCTTTTAAGCCATATTTTTCACCAAACGCCTGCTTATTTCAGTCACAGACGGAGCCACATACAACAATATTGTTTTTGCAAAACGCCGATGATGATGAAGTTATACAATATTTTAACATATACGAATTGAATTGATTACTTGTAGATTAAGTAGAACTATCAATGATTTTATTTTATATTTTCATTTTTGTCTGAGAATTAGTATTAAATTAGAAAACAATTACACCACTCAAATGAAGTTCTGACTCGGTCTTGATTTCAGTATGCTGATTGAATTGGCTGATAATGATAGAAAATAGCACATCAGCTACTGCTTTCATTGAAGAGATTAAATAAAAGTAAATGATATCTAACTAATAAATATATTTTACACATTCTTTAAGATAATGCATTTTTTGGCTTGAGAATATGATGGAATCAAGGTAGTCAAAATCGCGTGTTTACTAGCAGGATCGTACGATTATACGATCCCCAGTAGCCTTTGCGATCCCGTTTCTACTGAAGATCGGAAAATTGTAAAATCGCGGGGATCGGCGTGTTTAATCGCAGAATCGTAGAATCGCAGCTGAGTCGCGATTCTATTTTATTATTTGTCATAAATTTGAAAGTTGTCCGACTTTTAAGAAACGTCTGGAAAAAGAATCCCAAGGCGTCGAAACTTGTGGGAAACATGCGGATAGATGAACGAAGCCGCTTTGAAATTTACAGAAACAGTCCTGCGTGAATCTCCTGTGCCTGCAATCTTTTTTATTTCAAATTTAATATTTTTTCATCTCTCCATATCTCCTGCTGCTTCTGCGTCTAGTCCATACCTTCAATTCTTCATCATCTGTTGTTAGCTACTGCGTCGACCTCCAGGTAATTTTTATTTATATTTTTCAGTTTTTGTTTATAAGGTTTGGACTTTGGAGTTGTAGTATCAGAATAGTTCCTTTATAAGGTTTGGAGTTTGTTCTTTTATACGGAGTAATTAATAATATCTCCGTAGGAATTTTCAATTTAGAATAAAAGAAGTATTACCTCATAACATTAGTTTAAAATATTTTGCATTTTTATTAGTTTGTTACTTTGGTTTACGTCTGTATTTCCCACATTATTACGTTGCAATTTATATGTTACTGTGATTCTTATTAGTTATGAGTTCTATTCAATATCTAATGATACATATATTTTTTATTAATCCATATATTATAACATATAATATACATACATATATATAAAGTAGGATCTTACGATCCGAGTTACGATCCTACGATTTACGATCCTCAGGACTCCTACCGATCCTACGTAGGATCTTGAGTTTGACTACCTTGGATGGAATAAAGCAAAATGGCTCACTAAATTGTCTGTGTTTCTTTGCTATGAAGCAACCGTCAGTCCATGCAATTTTTGACACGAGACTAATGTTGTTGTATACTTTAAGATCATAGTAGTCAATGGCCAGATATGGCGCGCGCTGTATGCGCTATCGCCATGAAAAAGTGGTTGTTGCCATAGCTCCATATGCGCCATCGCCATGTGCCATGAAAAATGCCTTTGAGCCATGGCGATCACGATCACCATGCACCATGGCAACTATGTTTAAGATAATGCAGCAGGCACAAATCATACAATTATTTTGGCCAACACTTGAGAAGATTTAGCCACTCAAAATACAAGGCTAAATAAAAAAACTAGTAGTACAATCTTACAGTTGAATTGTCTTCACTCAGAGATTGCATCAATTGCCTCTTGAACAACTCCAGCTGTGAATTGTCATCAAATTAGACCACGTATATGTATAATGTGAAACACCCAATTTTAGGATAGAACTAAAGTAAAATAATAAACGCCATATACAGATAAAGAACAAAACACATGGATAGAAGTACAATTCTGCAATTCAACAATATGAACTCTCTTAAAAAATATAAGAATGTAAAATGCCTTGTAAAATTTATTTGCAGTATTCGACACAATGCTGATTTAGCCAGTCACAACAATAGCAACAACTCAAGTAAATAAACTTGAGTATTTTTTTTCTACCAAGTGCCAAACAAACCAAGGTGGGTGATATCTTGTCTGCAGATATAGAAACAGTGCATTCTCTTATAACCACTTACCATTACAAAAAAAATGTTACTTTTATTCGTGAATTGGGCCTTCAGTTCTTAACAAAAATTAAAAAAGCACACAAGAGCAAAAATCAACAAATTTGGAACTACAGTACAAGAAGTTGACAAAAATGCAGTCATTAATACGTACTATTTGTTAATAAAGAAGTATGAAATGTTTTTCAGAGTCTGTGTTGAACAAAGAATATTGAATATACGTAGTATATACAAAAGTATCATAGCTAAGCTATGAAAGCGTATACTCTATACTAAGTAACTAAAATCTACTTTAATTGAGCATATATACAGCAGTAAGCCCGTAACGTATCTCTAATGGAATGTCCTCTAATTGAGCATGCACACAGCTGTACCTAACACTTCTCCTCAAGTTGGAGCAAATATATTAATCATGCATAACTTGCTACAAATATTTACAAAATGGCTTCGTAAATATGTGCGAGTTGATGTTTAGTCCTAACATGCACTAGTATTATCGATGGAGGGTTTGATTGTGTGCCAACCACATGAACTCTGACTAAGTGACAATCAATAGAGCCTCTCATGAAATGCTTGATTCTTGGCTATATGGATAGCTAACTGATTATTACAATAAAGCCTGATCAAATCATTAGTATTCAGTCCAAGCTCTTTGAACAATCTTTTAACTCATGTCATTTCACATGAAACATCTGCCATGCCTATATTCCGACTATGCACTTCATCGAGAGACAATGTGTTGTTTCTTGGATTCCAGAAAACTAGATTTCTATCAACAAAGACACAATATCCAGTAGTCGACTTTCTGGAAAAGGTACAGCCAGCCCAACCTGCATCCGAGAAACTATATATTAAAGCCTGGTGTGGCTTTGAAATACCTCAAAACACAAAGAGTTGCATCTCAGTGGCCTGTGTATGGATCGGGCATGAACTAGCTCATGAGTCATGACACTTACTGGAAACAATATATCAGGTTGAGTAATCGATTTAATTTCCCGATTAGTCTCCTGTAATGCTTTGGATCCTTCATAGGACTTCCATCCTCTTGAAGAAGTTTTCCTGTCGTAAGCATTGGGCTATCCACTGCTTTGCATCCTAGTAAATCACATTCAGTCAACATATCAAGGACATACTTCCGTTGAGATAAAAGAACTCCTTGTGGAGATTTGGGAGACTTATAACCCAAGAAAGTAACAAACACGCCCCAAATCCATAACCTAAAAATTTGATTATAGAAACTCTTTCAAACATGAAATTCCACTGATATCCCAGTGATGATAATATCATCCACATACACTACAAGAATGAGTAGTCAACCCATATGATGTCTAAAGAACACGGAATGATCATGAGAGCTTCAGGTCATGCTAAATTGCTGAAGGACATCAAAACAACATCTAAATTCTAAACCATACTCTAGGAGATTGTTTGAGCTCATCTAAAGAAAGTCTCAATCGACATACTTTAAATGCTTCCTCCTTAACTATAAATCCACGGGGTTGCTCCATATAAACCTCCTTCTCAAGAACCATTAAGGAAGGCATTCTTGATATCCAACTGATGGAACTGCCAGTGATTGCAGCCAGAGCAATACAAATTTGAACAGGTGGCATCTTGACTACTGGGGAAAATGTTTCACCATAGTCAATCCCATATGTCTGAGAGTAACCCTTGGCAAATAGTCGGGCTTTCAATCTCATGATGAAGTTTTACGGTATAAACCCATTACAGCAAATTGTGCGCTTTTCACGAGGAAGCATAACCAAATCCCAAGTCTAACTTTCCTGTAGGGAATCCATCTCCTGTTGCATTGCTTTAAACCATCTAGTATGATTTACTGCCTAAATTACACCCCTTGGAACAAGGTGATTATCAATGGTTTTTTGGTAAGCGTATGATTCAGATGAAAGGTGAGAGTAGTCAAGGTAATTTTTAATGTGATATCTTGGTACAACTCCTTGTACCTTTTCATAAAGCAATTGGAATGTCATGGAGGGTGGTCCAGGTGGGTCATAGGGTTCGGAAGGAAGAGGTTCAGGTACAAATTCAGGTTCTCGATCAGGGTGTGATTTGGATGTAGACTGTGGAATAGGAAAGTTTCCAGTTTCATGACACGAAGTTGAGTTCTCTTGGTTCTGTGTTGCTTGTTTTCGTTGTCTAATGTACACCTTTGTGAATCAAGTATCCATATCTAATGGTAGAGTTGGAAAAGAGTTGTTTTCTTTATATAGGGGTGATATAGATTGGAGGATCTGGAGTTTCAAAGGGATTGGGGATTAGATCAGATGACTCGGAATTTCAAAAAAGTTAGTGGGACTATCAAAGAATGGATTTGACTCATTGAAAGTGTCGAGAAAGTGACATTAGCAATGATAACCCTTTTCGACTCATGAATACCCTGGAAAGAAACATTTTATTGCATGTGGATCAAGTTTGTTATGTCTTAGACAATGATCATGTACATCACATACACAACCAAATATCTTAGGAGTCAAAGGAAAGGAAGTACCTTCAGAAAATGGAATGGAAAAAGGTATTTCTCCATTAAGGATAGAGGATGGCATGCAGTAGATTATATAATTTGCTGTGAGGACAGCGGCAGCCTAACAATGTTGTGGCACATTATAATGAATCATCATAGTGCAAGCAACATCCAACAAATGGCGTTTTTACGTTCAACAATTTCATTCTGTTGGTGTTTGTGCGCACATGATGATTCCTGTATAATACCATGTTCGGATAAAAAAATTGTAAGACCAGAAGAGAAATGCTCTTTTACATCATCAGATCGAAGTGCTTTTATACTCCTACCAAATTGGGTTTTAACATATGCATAAACCTCACGGAGCATGGAAAATATTCCATTATGTGATGAAGTATTTAAAACCATTTATTGGAGTAACCGGACAAAGTCCTCAAACATCGGAATAAATTAACTGAAATAAAGAACTTACATGTTTAGATTCTTTAGGGAGACAGGGACGACGGGTGTGTTTCCATAATTGACATGACTCGCAAAAAACTCAGGAAAGGGTGAAAAAGCTGGTCTAAGTCGCTTGAAAACGGGTAAAGAAGAAGAACCAAGTTGACAATGACGTTCACGAATACTGGATTATTGAAAACTTGAATCAACTATCCGGTTCATCTCTAGTTCATAGAAAACACAATGTGTAGGAAAGAGAATTATTTAACAATTGTGTTTCTTGGTAATATGACTAATAGATATAAGACTACCTTGAATTGGACATGAAGAACCATTAACAAGTCTAACGAGGTTATGAGTTACACTTGTATCCTGGTTGAGTATGAGGTTTTTGTTCGTGGTCATATGATATGTAGAATCTGAATCAATAATCCAGGATGATGAGCAAGCAGAAAGCAATTTGAAGATATACCTGAATGTGTTGTATTAGCACAGGAAGTAGATGTTACTTGTCCAAAAACTTTTGGATAAACGACTGTTGTAACATCAGTGGTGGATGAGATCTAGGTGGTCGATATGGACAATTGTACTTGGTGTGTTCATATTCTTTGCAGTAATGACACTAAATCTTGTTATAGGGATCATTCTTCCAATTCACTACTTTACCATTAGTTCGGGCATTAAAAATCGTAAATGCAGATGCATTTGTGCCTCTGGACAAGATGGTATGTCGAGGCTAGAGATTGAGAGGCAGTGCGACTCAAAAGCAAAGGGCAACCAGCCAGCCACTAAAGTACTTGGGAGATAGCCCTGAGATAAACGTCATTGCATCCACCTTTGATAACCGCTCCTCCTTAACTTTGACATCTGGAGTGACAGGGAAGAGAACAGGTATCTCCTTTGCTAATTTGGACAACCTTGTATAATTTTCATTAAGGTCCAAGTTACCCTGATCACATCAATAATAAGATCCAAATACAGAGTACATGTGGGGGAGAGATTCCTTTCCTGAGAAAGAGGACTGCAAATGTTCCCACATCTTTTTTGTGGTAGGGTAATTTTGAGCAATACTCAAAACTGGAGGTTCCATAGCGCTCCACAAAGCCATTGTGATTCCCCCATCTTCAAGCTTCCATTCTCGAGTTTAGGTTTTAGAGGATCCTAGTTCAGATATGCATCTTTATCCAAGCTTTCATGGCCCGTTTGAACAAAAATACTCCATTATTTTCAACTAATTGAATTTAGTTTTAACACTTAAACCGATATTTTCATAGTGGCAGAATAATTAATAACTCCAAGGACAATAACATCTCCATTTTATAAAATAAGAGAAGGTTCGGAGTTAGATTGTTGACGTTAGGGATTGACCAGGTCCGACAGTCCGGCCCGGCCCGGTTTGCTTCCACGATTGGTTGAAGGTTTGTCATAGAACTCAAGAAGTTAACATAGCATCGCCCCGCCACTTCATGGAGGAAACAACAACTGACGTCGGAAGCAGGAGTTCCGACGAATATGAAATGTATGTAATGTAACTATTCTCAATTGTAATTTGAGGATGTCTAGGTCAATGTAATGTTTCAAATAAATCTACAATTCATTTTTAATGTGTAACATTTTTTAGTTATATTACTAATATAATAAATTAAAAAAAAAACGCTCGAACTGGCCCGGGACCGGACTGAGACCCGTATTATCCAGGTCGGTTCCGGGCCTCCACATCTAAGAACCAGGACCGGGCTGGTACCGGGTCCATCCCTAGTTGAAGGCACTCTCTCACGAGTTTCGCGAAGAGCGAATGCATGAGCAGAAACCTTGAACAGAATCTTCAACCCAATAAAGAGACCTTTGATTTAGTTTATCTGAACATAAAAGCAACAATAGGGATGATCTTGTACAGAACGGGAATCAACTAAATGCTGATCTAGGGTTTCACGGGTAATAGTATTTCTGATGGGCTTAATTAGGGTTGTATCTTGAGTATCGGCTCTAATACCATTTTTATATAGAAGAAGTATGAAATGTTTTTAGTGTCTGTATTGAACAAAGAACATTGAATATATACATACAACTGAGTAATTCTAGCTAATCTAGTAAAGTGCACATTCTATACTAAGTAACAAAAATCTCCTTTTGTTGAGCATATATACAACTGTAACATATCTGTGACATAATCTCCTCAAATTGAGTATCTATACAGCTGTAACATAACGTAGGAGGCAATAATGTTGAGTAAAATCGCCATGAAAGAGGCGAATTTCATACAGCCATTGTTGCTAATACAGCCACAACATGACACACATAAGCAAGCAAAAAATCAAAATGATATCGTTTAACTTCCACTTTTCTACAGCACACGAAAAAGGTAAGAGAGTACCTTTTCTAAATCACGACCAAGCTTCTTTGCTGTCAAAGCCAGTGTATCCCTCTCCTTCAAAAGCTTCATCTTTAATTCCAAGAAATGGAGGGAAAACAAATGTCAACACCATGGCATCGGTAAAACAAGAGAAAGATGGGGAGTCGGCTCTTTTTTAATAGAAATATTACATAGTGATAGACTTTGAATTTGTAATTACTGTTATATATGTGTATGTATCCATTAAGGCTAATTACATATCTATAACATTAGTATCTCATAGTCTATCACGTACATTATCTTCACGGGTGATTTTCAATCGTAATTCGGATTCCTGGTAGCTTTGCTCGAGGTGGGAGACCTTATCCTCGAGCTCAACAATAGCACGGTCCTTGTCATGAAGCATTCCTCGAAGCCGCCCCACTTCTGACTCCAGCTTCGTCACGCGGGACGCAATCGCCATTGAAGTGATTTTCCGAGCCAGATCCAACTGCTCATACGGATCAGTCGGGATAACCGATAACACCTCGTCCGACAAATGGAATTCAGAACCAATCGCCACACCTCGACTGCTTTCACTACTGCTATGTGACATTCCAAAACTCCTAAACGCCCCTGACTTATATACTTCTGCAGGTATAAAGATAAAGCAAAATAATCGAACAGAGTAAGGTGGGCAGTGGAGGATTATCGGAGATGAGACAGTTCAGAAATCAGAAGCACTCGTCGGCGCAGGAGAATAAAGATTAGATTAAAATTAATCTCGCCTCTGGGAAACTCAGAAATAATCTACGGAGTACAATTTTATGCCGTAATAGGGATTTAAAACGAGATAGATTTTATGGTACCTAGTTATCGTATCTTTGTCCACATGCATCAAAGAAATGTTGCAGTTGAATGAATTAATTTTAAATCTAAAATAAAAAAGATAAAGGGAGTGTTTGCAATTGCTTCAACTTTAAAAAAGTGATTTTTTAAAGTGATTTGGGGAAAAGTGATTAATAGTAAAAGTTGGTAGTGTTTGAGAAAAAAGTGATTTTGAAAAAGTAAAAGTTGTTAGTGTTTGGTAAAATAAGTACATTTTGTGTAATAGAAAAAGTGAAAAGCAGTTTAAAGCACCCTTCCACCTGCTTCCAGCTTTTAGCTTTTAAGTGATTAATTTAAGCAGAAGCTGTCGTTTGCAAACACTCTTTTTAACTTTTTTTAAGTCAAAAGCTGAAAAGTGCTTTTTTTAATCAAATGCAAACACTCCTAAAGTGTTGTGCAATCAAATAAATGGTAGGTACGGTATTCCATTTTTCTAAAGAGTTGTCACCTTAAAATAATCCTTTGGCTCCCATGAAAGCCAACACTGCCCATCACGATTTAGGGTATATTTTTGGCTTTTTTTTTGGCTATATTTGGTTATAGCCAAAAAATATTTGGCTATATTTGGTAGGGTTTTTTACAATGTCAAGCACAATGTCTAAATGTAGACATTGATTGATATTGTTGTTAAGACTTGCCAAAATGCATAAGACCGCGGAAAAAAGGAGAAAGTTGTCATGAATTTAGTTTTTTGTTAACCTCTCTCATGACACATATGCACCGTCTACATTATAGCATTAAATATGTTCTTATTTAACAATGTATTGTTGTGAATTTTCCGGTGATTGCCGCCTTTTGGTGATCGAAAATATTTTAAATGAAAACAATTGTACTTGTTTACTAAAAATTAATTGTTCAATTTATTAATGTTAAAAGTAACAACTTTCCCCCGAGAAGATACTCACTATAGATTCTCAAAATGATATTTTATGATTTTTCGAACTTGTGTTTCAATTTCCCACTCTATCTTTCTTCAACTCTTCATATTCCTTTTTAGGCTTTTTTGCTACTCAACGATTCATTTATTTTTATGTTCAGGGCCGGCATATCTTGACATTTCCCTCCTGCACCAAAAATGGCACACCTACTCAATATAAAGAACAAAATCAGCAAAATTCAAATGTTGCGATGTAAAAATTACATATTTATTAGGTAAAATTGAATAATCAGCTCAATTAAATAGTACGTACGTACCCTACAGTTTATGATGGACAACTATTCTCTCTCGAACGAGAACCTCGACAGTTTTTGAATGGGAAAATTCCCACAAGTTGGTAGGGGAGTCAAGTATACTTGGTTCCTTTCCATTCAGATTCACAAGAACAAAGGAAACAACTGGGGAATAGTATTGATGATCCCTTGAATTGTAATGGGTAGATAGTCCTTCAATTTTGGGTTTCAAAATTGCTTGAAACATAGTGAAAGAGTGCTTCTCAGCAGTTTCAGCCCCTTTATAAGCAATAGCAACCCTTCCTCTGCTCACACCCTCCATCCAATTTAGAGGACCTCCATGTGAAATCATTACCCCAACTTGAATAATGGCATATGATTCCCAAGAAAAAGGATGAACCCGATCCTCAAGAACCCCTGGACCAGACCTCTTTCGTTCCAAGCATGAATTTCCGGTTGCAGGATTAGGAAAAACATAATCTGGCAATTGTACAACATGTCTTCTTCCTACATCATATTTCAACATAGATACATAATGCCCCAATCCTTTTTTATTCATTTTCATAGAAGTAACACCTTCCAATGTAAGATTATCATATTTGTTCAATCCTTCCAACACAATGTTTGATGACTGGCGATACATCATTTCAGTCTTGCGGCCATTTGGCCAGTTCTTCTTGTGTGCAAGATGAAAAGAAATATTGCCTACCTGAAGAAGTTTGAACCTATTGGTTTCAAGATCTGACTGGTCAAGATCGTACTTGGAAAACATCTTACGTCTGGAAAATCCATAGGTGTGTGTACCTTCCGGTTGCTGCTGATTAACCAACTCTGGGGACTCAGATAGAGATTGCGAACTAGGGTTTTCTACTTGAGTCGAAGCCAGAGGACCGAAAGAAGTATCTTCCGACTGAGATGGACCTTTGCTCTTCGAATTCACGCAGCGACGTACCTTCCGCGATCTTCCTCTCCTGTGACGTTGGGGCCGCATCTTGGTGCGCAACTCTGCCAACTCTGTGTTCATATTCTTCGCCCCAGCACTTTCCACCTTTTCCTTGTTCTTCGTACGTTTCTCCTTTTCCAGGTTTGATGGCTTCTTCTCCTTCTCCACTTTTTGGCGCTCATTCTTTTCTGCGAACTTCCCCAATTTTCCGCGCCACTCCTTTCGCGAGTGCGAAACAGTTCGCGGCTCTTTCCACGACTCCTGCAACTTTCGCAGCTCAGTCTCTTTCTGCGATTCCTTCTGCGACTTGGTCCTCGACTTTCCTCGTGAGTGCCGATTGTTTCTTTGCAAGCTTAATTTGCGTATCTCTTCGCAAAAACGTCTGGTATCTTCGCTCATCTTTTCGCAAAACCTCCTGTTTTCTTCACGCCTCTTTTCCCAAAACAGTCCCCAATCTTCCATCGTTCCAGTACAGGATTACAGGTAACAAGATCGTTTGCTCTGATACCAATGTTAGAAACCTCCCAATTCCAGAACAGTTTACAGAAAGAATTCATGAAATCAAACTGAATTTTATTAGAGAAGAGATGAACAATACAGTAACCAAGGCCGAAGCCTCCCAAAGAGAAGAGAATAGCTCTCTAATCTTCCCAGTCCAGGCCCAAGTCCCAAAAGCCTACTTACTACTCCCCCTTCCCGTCTATTTATAATAGAGACCCTTATTACTAATATTATTATTATTACTTCTATTATTAGTCTAATAGGTAGGTCCCTATCAGGTAGCGGTTTGGACCTAGCGCTTAATTGGCCTCAGGCGTGATTATTTAAGGACAGATGGGACCAAAAGAGGAAAAAATAGAGAAGGTCAAAAGAGGCCATGCAATGTCAGATAGAGATTTTTAGAGCAATATTACTCCTACACTGGCCAGGATAAAAACAAATCAACTTGTGACCTATTCAAATTTTAGAAGATATATACATAGATATCCAGTAATCCCTGTATAATTAGAGGGAAAAAATGGTCAATCAACATCAGTGAACACTTCAATGTAGCTCCACCCCTGCATATCCGCCAATTTTGTTTAAAGATGACTCTGAAAGACAATTTTTTAAGCTTCGGAGTAACATTGACTTTGCAGCTTATGCACTTGAGCTAACACTGTTATAGGAATAACCATACTAATAAGCTATATTTTATTATTATCATATAAATCTCCAAATAGTATTTTAGATTGCCATATTTTTCAACTTATTACCATTACTTAATTAGGGTTGTATCTTGAGTATCGGCTCTAATACCATTTTTATATAGAAGAAGTATGAAATGTTTTTAGTGTCTGTATTGAACAAAGAACATTGAATATATACATACAACTGAGTAATTCTAGCTAATCTAGTAAAGTGCACATTCTATACTAAGTAACAAAAATCTCCTTTTGTTGAGCATATATACAACTGTAACATATCTGTGACATAATCTCCTCAAATTGAGTATCTATACAGCTGTAACATAACGTAGGAGGCAATAATGTTGAGTAAAATCGCCATGAAAGAGGCGAATTTCATACAGCCATTGTTGCTAATACAGCCACAACATGACACACATAAGCAAGCAAAAAATCAAAATGATATCGTTTAACTTCCACTTTTCTACAGCACACGAAAAAGGTAAGAGAGTACCTTTTCTAAATCACGACCAAGCTTCTTTGCTGTCAAAGCCAGTGTATCCCTCTCCTTCAAAAGCTTCATCTTTAATTCCAAGAAATGGAGGGAAAACAAATGTCAACACCATGGCATCGGTAAAACAAGAGAAAGATGGGGAGTCGGCTCTTTTTTAATAGAAATATTACATAGTGATAGACTTTGAATTTGTAATTACTGTTATATATGTGTATGTATCCATTAAGGCTAATTACATATCTATAACATTAGTATCTCATAGTCTATCACGTACATTATCTTCACGGGTGATTTTCAATCGTAATTCGGATTCCTGGTAGCTTTGCTCGAGGTGGGAGACCTTATCCTCGAGCTCAACAATAGCACGGTCCTTGTCATGAAGCATTCCTCGAAGCCGCCCCACTTCTGACTCCAGCTTCGTCACGCGGGACGCAATCGCCATTGAAGTGATTTTCCGAGCCAGATCCAACTGCTCATACGGATCAGTCGGGATAACCGATAACACCTCGTCCGACAAATGGAATTCAGAACCAATCGCCACACCTCGACTGCTTTCACTACTGCTATGTGACATTCCAAAACTCCTAAACGCCCCTGACTTATATACTTCTGCAGGTATAAAGATAAAGCAAAATAATCGAACAGAGTAAGGTGGGCAGTGGAGGATTATCGGAGATGAGACAGTTCAGAAATCAGAAGCACTCGTCGGCGCAGGAGAATAAAGATTAGATTAAAATTAATCTCGCCTCTGGGAAACTCAGAAATAATCTACGGAGTACAATTTTATGCCGTAATAGGGATTTAAAACGAGATAGATTTTATGGTACCTAGTTATCGTATCTTTGTCCACATGCACCAAAGAAATGTTGCAGTTGAATGAATTAATTTTAAATCTAAAATAAAAAAGATAAAGGGAGTGTTTGCAATTGCTTCAACTTTAAAAAAGTGATTTTTTAAAGTGATTTGGGGAAAAGTGATTAATAGTAAAAGTTGGTAGTGTTTGAGAAAAAAGTGATTTTGAAAAAGTAAAAGTTGTTAGTGTTTGGTAAAATAAGTACATTTTGTGTAATAGAAAAAGTGAAAAGCAGTTTAAAGCACCCTTCCACCTGCTTCCAGCTTTTAGCTTTTAAGTGATTAATTTAAGCAGAAGCTGTCGTTTGCAAACACTCTTTTTAACTTTTTTTAAGTCAAAAGCTGAAAAGTGCTTTTTTTAATCAAATGCAAACACTCCTAAAGTGTTGTGCAATCAAATAGATGGTAGGTACGGTATTCCATTTTTCTAAAGAGTTGTCACCTTAAAATAATCCTTTGGCTCCCATGAAAGCCAACACTGCCCATCACGATTTAGGGTATATTTTTGGCTTTTTTTTTGGCTATATTTGGTTATAGCCAAAAAATATTTGGCTATATTTGGTAGGGTTTTTTACAATGTCAAGCACAATGTCTAAATGTAGACATTGATTGATATTGTTGTTAAGACTTGCCAAAATGCATAAGACCGCGGAAAAAAGGAGAAAGTTGTCATGAATTTAGTTTTTTGTTAACCTCTCTCATGACACATATGCACCGTCTACATTATAGCATTAAATATGTTCTTATTTAACAATGTATTGTTGTGAATTTTCCGGTGATTGCCGCCTTTTGGTGATCGAAAATATTTTAAATGAAAACAATTGTACTTGTTTACTAAAAATTAATTGTTCAATTTATTAATGTTAAAAGTAACAACTTTCCCCCGAGAAGATACTCACTATAGATTCTCAAAATGATATTTTATGATTTTGAAAACACTTAAAAATTATTGTGTCAAACATAAAACTTGAATCTTATATGATTTTTTTTATATAATATAAAAGCGAGAAATAGAGTGAGAGTTATGTCTATTAAATATGGATTAAAGTGAAAAATATATTTTTTGAACTTTCTGATACTTGTTTTTTCAGTAACTGAAAAAAGCTTAAAAAAACAAAAAAAAAACTAATTGTTAGTTAAAAGCAGATTGTTTGTTTCAATGATATTCAGTATTAAAACCAATTATGTCTGATTAATGTTAAAGTAACAAAATTGTTTCTAGAAGCTAGAGTGAGTAGTTGATGAATACATCAATTAATTATGTTTTGCATATATAATTATATATACTAGTATTCCACATGTGCGTTGCACGGGAATGTGTCAATCAATATTAAGTAATGGTAATAAGTTGAAAAATATGGCAATCTAAAATACTATTTGGAGATTTATATGATAATAATAAAATAACTACCAACTAAAATTAGGGGTGGGCACGGTCCGGTAAATTGGTAAAACTCGTAATGTATCTGTGAAGTTTTTAACGGGCTGGGTCAGTCCGGTTTCAAGGATGGAACCGTTCGGTACCATGTCGCTTCGGAACAGTACAACACGGTACGGTACAATACCAAACATATGCTAATTTTTTTGAATAAATCTTGCAATTAGTATATATCATCACACCAACCAACTCACATGAAATGTTGATATAAATACAAGAATTTGCATACGTAGTACTAAAACTCATAACTACACAAATAGTGCAACACAACTACGAAAAAGTACAGCAAAACGATGACGCACGAGATACATATCATCTTTAATTTACTAATAAGTTCATTTGAAAATATAAAAAAGAATATAATATAATAGAAATCTTCAACGTTCTTCTTCTTCTTCTTCGCTCTAGGTTATTAAAAATTACTCCGTAGTTCTAATTTAATTTATAGTTGAACCTTGAGAGCTAAGATTTGAACTGTATTAATTAAGTTGTAAATTTGCACAAACATGATACAACAAAAAGTCACGTACACTACATTACTAGAAATGAATAGTCATTAATGATTTTTAAAATTCTAATATTTTTTCGATCAACAAATACTTAAATATAACATAAATTATCTAAAAAGAAAAAATAACAATATATATAAACAGACATTTAGCTATTTTAGGGATGCATGAATACATACATGGGCTATAAAAATGTTGGTCTATAAAAGAGATATATTGGTATAGAAAATATATAAAAAATTCAAATACATTATTTTCGAACAATTCGGTCCGGTATTTTTCGGTTCTCAAAACTAGGACCGGTCCCGTACCCGTTTCAAACGGTACGGTTTCGGTACGGGACAAAAATCTATAGAACCGTTTAAATACCCGATATTCGGTCCGGTACCATTACGGGACGGTTCGGTACCGGTTCGGTTCGGGTTTTATGCCCACCCCTAACTAAAATTACAATTTACTGTGAACCTTCTGTTTACAGGTACATTCTTCCAAGTCAAATATAGGGGGATGGACTCTTTCTAATAATCAAATAACTCGATCCCCAATCCTTAATTGTAACCAGGATCGGGTCGTGATATAGTACGGGTGACTATAATGTGTTTAAAATTTATGTCGTAGTAGCATACATATACTTACTACGATGTAAAACATAGAATTGTGTTAAATTTATACTTTATACTTTCAATCAACATTGAGGTTTATTTGTATTATGAACACTGAAGAGGAGAGATAGGTGGGAATTGTAGGGAGAAAGGATTCTTTTTACTTCCTTTCTGATTGTTTGTGAGTCTATGACTATGGCTTACAGCATAGAAGTATGTTAAACTTACTTTATACGTTCAATTAACATGGAAGTTTGTATTGTGAACACTAAAGCATATGCATGCATGTATTGAGAATAGAAATATATTCAATCTTGTATAATGCATGTGTGATGTCTTGACATGCAATGAGATTTTCTCTACATAAATGTAAGTCGTACAAACATAGTGAAAGCCACACTCTCACTGCCTTGACCAGAGCCGAAAATATATTAGTAATATTGTAACACATACAGATTGACAAAGGATCATTATTAAACTCGATGCACTCGTTATTCTTATTCTTAAGTTTATTATCACTTTAAAATCCAACATCAGGGAGAAACTCCCGCAACTTAATTCATTCATATACTCGGAATCAGTGTTCTAGACTTTATAAAACAAACGTTTCATGTGGATCGACCCAATATTTATTACTACAATTGACACTTGTATATATACTTGCAAGGTTAGCCAAATCAGTGTCATAAGAGAGAAAGTATGAATGTTTTAGCATTAATTAAGTAGACACGATACTACTTAATGTTGAGCATGTGATTTTTGGTGAATAGAGTTATGGGTTAGAGGTGTTGGTAGTGCCTTACTGCCGTTGTTACAATGGTGCCATGTTCAGTGCAATAATTTCCATTTTCATCATTGATCATTTGATTGCCAATACTTTTTGATGCCTTCACTTTTTATGACAAAATTGTGGGAAAATTTTGTATCAGCTTCCCAACCCTCTTGTAGCCATTTGATGCGGGCTTTTTTATGCCAACAATTTTCTTCTTGTTTAAGTATAAAGGCTAGATTTGCTTGGGCTTTGGACCATTGTTCTCGGGTTGCTGGTGTTGGGTCAATTTCGTAGTCTACTTCCCGTAACTGGGCCTCGTTTTCAGCCGTGTGGATTTCGTTGAAAAGGTTTCCAAAAGTATCCTAGACGCTTGAGTGACTTTGGTTGTTCGTTACTAGGCACTGTTGTTGCTATGCCTATTTATCAGTGTGGCGCCGAAGCAATTGCGTTGTTGGTCACTGGGGCAAGGTGGCAAAAGTTACTATGGCGGTTGGTCAATAAGGTAGCATAATCATTGTAAACATTGGTCATCAGAGGCTAGGGATTGGGAGTCACTGACATTGATCAACAATCACTTTAATGAAGGTATACCAGTATGTCAAAAAGATATAGCTCTAATGTTATTTATCACTCCTGTTTTGGTATTGTACTCCATCCATTCTTGAAAACTTTATCAAATTTAATTGACAGATAGAATTACAAAGTAACTGTTTGGTTTGGATTTATCAAGAGAGAGAGAGAGATATTGGAAACGCCAAATAATTGATTAAAAAAAGAAAGCGATAAAGTTTTTGGGACAACCAAAAAATGAAAGATGGCAAATGAGTCCTTCGATATTTGGCGGTTCACCCCCCCACCAATCCGCTACAACAAGCATTCCAAAGTTGTAAGGGACACAGGGAGTTTATGGAAACCCCATGTCACTATTAGTGAAATATATGTGTGCGAATAACTCAACAATAAGAATGAAGAAATGAGAGGTTAGGATGTTAGCGAGAGATTGAGAGGTTAGGGGGAGTGGGTGTGCTAGGTTAGTCCTAGGGTTTACTAAAGGTATCACCTTCTCCTTTTCAGATTGGCGAACTAATATATGAGTATGGAGACATGTAATACAAAGCAAAACCATAGATGGATGAACTCGAGTAGACGCAGGAACGACTGGTAATGATGGAAGAAGCGATGATGGTGAATTCTTCACAAACTGTGTTAGAGGCGTTCAATTTTCAAATGACGGTACTGATGGCACATCATCTCCTTGAACCACCACCATGGAACGAACATATTGTTTAGGATTGGAAGATGACGTTTCAAGATGGAGTTTGGGCACCTGTAATGTTTTACTTAGAATTTTACTACATGAAGTTTTACATTTGTCCTGTTAGACAATCATTTTTTTTAATATTGTATGTGTTTCTGTGAGTCTTGTGATGTTTAGTTCTATTATGAATAGAGGAGTAGATGTATTGAAACTAGTCTTGTGATGTTTAGTTCTATTATGAATACAGGAGTAGAGGTATTGAAACTTTTAGGGCCAATTCAATCTTCAAATCCTCACATGGTTAGTGAAACAATCTACTTCGTCCCGGTGACCCTTTTTATGTCTGATCAGATAGTGTAAGGATATTCAAATTATTTTGAATGTAAGATGAAAATAGATGTTGAGTTTGAGTTATTTATGATTATTATGAATTTATGATATACTTCCCACATTCCATACAAATTGGTCAAATTTGACTTGCACGTAGAATAATAAAGTAAAATTATGTTGTCGACATTTGTGCCGGAGAGAAAACCTCTACTTCAATCACATGTTTGTTACTTTATATGTAATGAATTTTTTCGAGACACCTATAAAATAAAATTTGATCAAGGTTTGTGAGACGCCTATTAAATGAAACTAGTATATTACTTGTGCGATGCACGGTATCAAAATTTTTTCATCATTATCGATTATGCTACTACGTATGAAATTAAAATTGATACAATAATACAGTAACATTTACTTTAAAGAAACTGAAATTTCTACGCAGTATATGGTAAGGCCAAATAAGATCATCGATATAATAATAGCTATAGAAAACTAAGAAAAGCAAACATACGGTTATTAAGAAACATTTCAATATAAAACTACACTTATATAAATAATATAAATGTATTGTAGGCATTTATTATTGACCTACTATGGTGCAAGCACAGTTGTGTGTTAAAAACTTGTAAGGATTAATGATTTGCAACTTGTGAACAACAAAACAATATCAATTATAATTTAAAAAATAAAATTAATTATCCAATGGGGAAAAGGGATTAACCATCACTTTGGTTGATCATTATTGAATGGTGGGTGAAACTATTAAAGGGAATTTTAAACTACGAATAAAAAAAGTACATTTCACACATCTCACAAGTCACAATCAAATAAAACCTTTGGATCAACATTTTTTGTCCCAGTTATATGACATCGAATTATTTTAGCTTCTAAAATATGAAATCCAAGTTTATAGTTGTGACCAAAGTAATCGTTGTCTTATATTAATAAAAGTAGTGTAATAGGTAAGATATATATAATCCTATTAAAAATGAAGTAATGTTCGAAATTTATTTTACATGTATATATTTTCGCATAATCACTTGCTCAATTGATATAATATTCATGATTATAATTTAATCACTTCAAATCCCTCTAGTCCTCTCCATGCATGTGCGGCTACATATATGCATAATTTTGATAACCTCTTCATCCAAAAGTAAATGAACTCTTAGCATATAGCAGTAAGCCAGTAACAACTATTAGACATTAACTACATATATATACCGACGTACTCTTTTCTTGCTTTCCCTTAGCAGCGGGAAAGGAGTCTATCTATCAGGACCAGTGGCGAAGCCAGAAATCTATGATTAAAGGGGTCGGCCCTAAAAAAATTTACATTGTAGAGGCCAAACTTTGAGATATCAACATAATTTTCTACAGATTAAAAGTATTTATACATAATATATACTTAAGATTTTTTTTTGCAGGGGCCGAGGCCCCCTCCAGCCCCTTCCTGACTCCACCCCTGATCAGGACATCAGGTGCCTAGCTTTGCTTTCACCTGCACGCTTGTAGAGTTAAGGAAGGAACGATGAGCATTTTTTTAAAACACCCTCTATATATAACTGTCTTCCGTGGTGCCAGTTAATTAATTAAATAGGAAGGCGGCGGGGAACAGTTTTTCACTCAAGAGTTGCATCGGTGGGAACAATTATTGAAAAGTTGTAACCGTTAGGCGGAAACACTTAGTCTTGGTTTCCCTTTTTATATTAGTATAGATTTGGTCAAATTTTGTAGGACAAATAGAGTATACGTCTATCTTTCAAATAAAGAGGTCAATATGATGTTTTTATTTGAACTTATTTTAGTTCTACACCAAACAAAATAAGGCTAAAGTAATCTTAAATAGATTAGACTAAACTCAGACAATTTCGAAATTCATAAAATCTAATACATAAAACAAAGGGAAAACTGTCAAATAGGTCCTCGAACTTTCATAAAAAAGTCAATTAAGTCCTTCAATAGGAGACTCTGTCCGGTCATTGCGATTTGGGGCGGTTCCCGTTGGGAATTTTTTGATGAATTTTTTTAGCATCTTATTCATCAATTCTAGTTTACTCATACCAAATTTCAGCTAAAAATTTAATCGGGAGCGCATTCAAATTATTTCGAGAACGCAAAAATGCGCAATTATCTTCAAGAATTAATTTGAATGTGTTCCCGATTGAATTGTTAGCTGAAATTTGGTATGAGTAAACTAGACTTGGTGAATAAGATGCTCAAAAAATTTCATCAAAAAATTCCACCGGGAACTGCCCCAAATCGCGACGGCCGGACAGAACCTCCTATAGAAGGACTTAATTGACCTTTTTATGAAAGTTCGAGGACCTATTTGACAGTTTTCCCTAAAACAAATATTGACCGAATGAGATTGCAAAAATCGAATTTGACTTTGCACCCCTTTTTAGGTGATATTGGATTTTGCACCCCATTTTCAAAAAACTTTAACTTTGCACCCCAACACATACCATTTTAGGGGTGAGCAAATAACCGATTCAACCGACCTGACCGAAAACCGATGACCGAACTGACCGAAAAAATCGATTTTCGGTCGGTTTTCGGTTATCATAAATTAACAATAATCGGTTATTCGGTTATTCGGTTTTTATTCTGTTTTATTTGTCGGTTATCGGTCGGTCACCGATAACCGTCCGATTTTTTTTTTTTTTTTGTAAATATTTAAGTAAATATACTACATAATAAATTAATAACCCCATAGTAACGATAAAAAAAAGAACTCCATAGTAATGAAATATGAAGTCCAGCCCACGCCCATTGAACTCCACCTACAAAACTCATTAGTGGAATGCTATGGAACCCGTTCTTCAATTATCCACTTCCCCATCTCTTTAACTTGTATTCTTATAATCAATTCATGGAACACCCTGTTCAAAATTTCAAACCTCCACGTACACCTTCATTAGTTCTGGAGGAATCAACCTTGGTAGAGAAAAATCAACCGAAATCCTTATTTAATCGTTGCGAAATCGCACACTTTTTTTCTTTTAATGTTTTCTAGATCCTTTATTATCTTACTCAACATGATAGATCTTTTGATTTTTAATTTTTTCTTTAGTTTGATTTAAAATATTCAGAAACTTTTAGATGAGTTTGCTCATTTGGGGTGTAAAGATTAATAAGATATTAGCTTATTTATTAGTTAACATATCCTTTTTTATTTTGTTTTCATATAGAAAAAGACAATTGTGGAACAATGAAGTAGTTTCAACGTGGGATTTTTTAGTTTTTGTAATCGTATTGTGCTAAGAACAATTATTTACATTTAAATATGTTGAATCTATTTTGGTATTTATTATTTTATTTATTAATGTGCTATCTACAACTTTTATAAATTTGAAAAATATATGTTTTGGTCGGTTATGTTCGGTTATTCGGTCACCGACCGAAACCGAATGACATTTTTCGGTCGGTTTTTGTAATGTTGTCGGTCGGTTATGAGAGGAAAAAACATTAGTCGGTTATTCGGTTATCGGTCGGTTATTTGACCGACCGATCCGACCGAATGCTCACCCCTAAACCATTTTGTGAAAAAAAAAATTCTAAATGTGGTACAAAGTCAAAGGAAATTTAAGTGAAATGAAATACAAAATCAAAATTTTTTCAAAATGGAGTGCAAAGTTCAATATCACCCAAAAAAGTGTGGTGTAATGTCAAATCATTCAAAAAAAAAAGGAGCATATAGAGCCCGTTTGGTAGCACAAAAATCGGCTGTTTTGGTTGATTCTGCTGAAATTTATGAAGTTCTGACTGAAGTAGCTGCTTTGGCTATTTCTGCTGATTTAAGTAAAAATTATTTTTAAAATATATTTTATTAATAAAATAAAGAAAAAGTTATATGTAAAAATAGCTAAAATGGTAATCTACAGTAACTTCAGCCAATACAGCCAGAAAAATAACTCTAACCTTACTTTTTCTGCTTATACACAATTCGGCGCGCGAAAGTAAAGTTACGTGTTTGATGAAAAAGTTGGCTGATAAGCCGTGAAAGGATGTTGCCAAACGGCCTCATAGTTATAGGGCCATAAAATTTCAAAGACCATTTTTGGTGTACACAACTTGTACACAAAATGTGTACACTGTCTGTGTACACAGACAATTTGACATGAAATTCTGCCTTTTTAAACGAATTGTTTGTGTACACGGGCAACTATAGGAGTTTTGTGTAAATTTGTGTATTTCCCAAATTTCAATTGAAAACATTTGCGCATGCCACAGTACCGCACTGCCCACTACTTCGGTTTCTCGTTATTTATACTGTACTACTACGTATCCTCGTCATTTTCTCAGTCTTCGCCCATCATCCATACATTGAAACCTCGATTTCTCCGATAGCAAACCTGCTCCGAGTCTTTGTCGTGGTAATAATCTGCGCGGATCCGGCCTGCTCCTTCCTTTTCATGCGCTTTATGTTTATTATATATTATCATCAAACATGTAATCCTTTTTTTTACTTCTTCAATTCATTTATTTGAAGGAAAGATTGACTTGAAACCATGGCTGTGAAAAAGAGCGTGGGATCCCTGAAGGAGGCAGATCTGAAGGGAAAGAGAGTCTTCGTCAGGGTGGATCTCAACGTTCCGTTGGACGACAACTTGAAAATCACCGATGACACCAGAGTCCGCGCCGCCGTCCCCACCATCAATTATCTCAGGGAGCATGGCGCCCGTGTCATCCTTTCTTCCCATCTCGTGAGTTCCCCCTCCGTTTAACCGTGTTCTCTCTTATCTCAGTTCATTTTTGTTGTTTTCTCGATTATTTTGTGCGGTTCGAGTTAGATCTTAGATCAACGACTTGTTTATATTTCTGAGATTTTTATCAGTTGCGTCCTCTCTGAATTTGCTTGAGCTATTGGTTTTAGGGTCGTCCAAAAGGGGTCACACCAAAGTACAGCTTGAAGTCTCTTGTACCTAGGTTGTCTGAACTTCTTGGTATTGAGGTTCGTTCTGATTTTCTCTCTTAATATGTTCCATTTGGCCGGCCATGATTGCCCTTTCAAAAATTTAAAAAGCTCTTTTGCTTTCTAATAGGTAAAGATGGCAAATGATTGCATTGGTGAGGAAGTGGAGAAATTGGTTGCTCAAATCCCAGAAGGGGGCGTTTTGCTTCTCGAAAATGTGAGATTCTACAAAGAGGAAGAGAAGAACGATCCTGAATTCGCAAAGAAGCTCGCCTCCCTTGCAGATTTGTATGTTAATGACGCATTTGGAACTGCACATAGAGCTCATGCCTCCACAGAGGGAGTAGCCAAATTCTTGAAACCAGCAGTAGCTGGATTCCTTATGCAGAAGGTAGGTATTTCAAAAGGGGGTCATTTTGAGGACTTATTCAGTCATCTTGGGTTGAGGGCCTTGGATGCTCTTGTAGGGCTTAATTTATATCATGATACATTGAATCGTCATACAATCACATATCAGGTTAATCCATCAATTTTATTAACATGGAAAAATTGGCTACAAACTTACAACTATCTGAACTATATGTGGTTTGCTTTTATTAATCCCAAATTCTTTAGGTAGATCCCTAAGTCCCAACTGGGGGGTTTGTTTGTCAATATTCGTTTTGTTATTCGCCCCTGGCCTGCCTTACTTGCTCTAACTAGTTACTTTTAAAAGGTCACTAAGAGTGCTATTTAAATGATTTCAAATTCTCAACTATGTTTGGTCTGTTTCCCTTAAGCCTGAAGATATTTTCATTATGATTGATTTAAGTCTCAAACTAGACCAAATCAATGGACTGTTTAAATAGCCGGCTCGAGCCTACGCATTTCGAGCTTGAGTTGGCTAGATTCATTAAGGGTTGTGTTTGGGTTCAAGCTTGAGGCTGACAACTTTAAAGGTGAGGTTCATGTTTGGCTTGACAGATGTAAGATGTTCTATTTGCACACTCAGATAACTTCAATTAAAATGTTTTTAATCGAAAACTTTTTGATTGTCTAAAACATTTTGTCACTTATACCATTAAGGTAACTAATTTGTGGGTTTTTTTTGTTTTCCTCTCCTCCATTCACACTTATTTTACTTATATCTAATTTTTCACTAAACTCAAAGTTGGTAATGTGCAATGTGACGGGGGTAGTATGAGTTTGCCCTATGCTTCTTAATTTCTTGTGCTCAAACTTTCGTTAAGTGCTTGATTCGTTAATAATACATCACTTTTAAAAATACACTACAAACGTTTAAAATTTAACATGTATATAATTTTTTCCTAAAAAGTATAAGTGCTCGATAATCTCGAGCTCCAACTGAACACAACTATGCTAGAGCTCAGTTTGAAAAAATTCAAATTTGAAAGTCGGCTTGAAAAAAAATTCAAACTTCAAACTCGTCTTGTAGTGATGTATTCAAGTTTGAAGCCTATCAATAAGATTGACTCACTGGGTTCGGAGTCGAGCTTAAATAGTTAGAAAACAACTTTGATTGGTAACTGCCCTCCATGATCATAAAAGTCTTAACTCCTAACCAAAGTCCAAACTTAAATAGATGAGACAAGACAAAACATACTTAGATAGACCAAACTTATTTAATTATAAAGTACATGTAATACCTTAACAAACTTTGTTCTGAGCAATTAAGACCAGTTGCTAGACCAGTCCAAGAGTAAACTTCTTAACTATCAATTATTCTAACGTTTCTCTTTCCAACTCCGTACTAGGGGTTGGTCGGAGAAACCGAAAATCGAAAACCGAATCGAAAAAACCCGAATCGCAACCAAAACAACCGAACTGCAAGAAAACTGAAACCAAACTCAAAAAGCCGAACCGAACCGTAGTAGTTCGGTTTTGGTTTTCACATCTCAAAACCGAACCGAACCGAATAAATCGAACTTTTTAAAACTAGTTGTTTTTTATTAATCATTAAGTATAATATTTTGTTTAGTTCTTAATTCTAGAAAGTTAATGTTTGATACTAAATTTATTATGATTTGCAAGATATTGACATTTAACATTTATGGTTTAATTAAGTGAAACACTTGTACATACACTTAAATCTATTGCTATAAGATTAGTATGTTGATATTTTAAATAATCGTAATTTACATTTTGCCAAATAGTACCCCAAGTTTCGAGTTCAAAAATAACCAAATTTTGCAAGGCGATATATACATTGCACTTATATCTCTCATATTGTTTAGAATTTGTCAAATCAGTTCTTCTAACTTAGTACCAAACCTTCTAATAAAGTAATGAAGTGTGTATATCTTTAGTTTTAATCTGAATGAGAGTATGTGTTGCCATGGGGTTTTGTTAACTACTAAAATAAGTGATAATTTTATTCTTTTGGGACTAATGAAAGTGTGCTGTGCAAAGTGTGGATTATTATATTATTGTAGTCCAATGTTACTATTTTTTTATTGGGGCACACCAGTTAAAGACTGGGATTATTGTTGGGGAGCAGGCTTAATATTAACACACCAATGTTTGTAGTTGGTATTATATATAGGAATAATCAATAGTTGTGTTGTTTAAAAATTAACCACCTATAATTGGGGTTATTTAATTGAATATTTCCTAATGAAGTCCTAAAAAGTGTATCAGCTAATCCCTCCAAAGCCTTATCTTCCAAAGCCCTTCATTCAAATATACCCTTAGAGGCTACAATTGCTTCCCATATGATCTCATGATTCTCATATGATTACTGCTTTGCACTGTGCTCTATTTTCCACTGTCAATCTCAGGAGCTTGACTATTTAGTTGGAGCTGTCACTAGTCCAAAGAAGCCCTTTGCTGCAATTGTTGGTGGGGCAAAAGTTTCCTCTAAAATTGCTGTGATTGAGTCACTGTTGGACAAGGTTGACTTGCTATTGTTGGGTGGAGGGATGATTTTTACCTTCTACAAGGCTCAAGGATACAAAGTTGGGTCCTCGCTGGTGGAGGAGGACAAGCTTGAACTAGCTACAGCCCTCTTTGAGAAAGCCAAGACTAAGGGTGTGTCATTGTTGCTTCCTACTGATGTTGTGGTTGCTGACAAGTTTTCTGCTGATGCTAACAGCAAGGTTTCTCTCACACACTATCTTGCTTATGAGCTTCTTTCAAGTATAAGATCTAAATGCTGAACGCTCTACAGTTTTGTGCCCCTAACAACCCCTTAAAATGGGGTGAATGTGATCCAACCTCGGATGGTGGAACAGAGGGTTTTTTTTTTTTTTTTTTTTAAAATAATAATATAAGGTGCTGTAATATAGTTCCCCTTAATTCGCAAAGAATGAGGGTACATATCCCCTCTGTTAGGAGGTGAACAAAACATGAGGTGCCTGATTTGGGTTATTAATGACTTGGAAATTTCCAGGTGGTTAGCGCTTCTGAAATACCAGATGCGTGGATGGGGTTAGATATTGGACCTGACACAATCAAGTCATTTGGCGAAGCTTTGGATTCCACCCAAACAGTAATATGGAATGGTCCTATGGGTGTGTTTGAGTTTGACAAGTTTGCTGCTGGAACTGAGGTTTGACTTTTAAAATATTTTTCTTAACTATTAGTTGGTGAAAGCATCACATGCTTTCCTTTGGCTGCTTTGTTGATTTCATTTTTATTACTTTGCAATGGGCGGCTGGGGGGTCCACAGGCCATAGCGAAGAAATTGGCGGAACTGAGTACAAAGGGTGTGACAACAATCATAGGAGGTGGAGACTCTGTTGCTGCAGTGGAGAAGGTTGGGCTTGCAGAAAAGATGAGCCATATTTCAACTGGAGGCGGTGCCAGCCTGGAGCTACTCGAGGGAAAGATGCTCCCTGGTGTTCTTGCCCTCAATGATGCTTAAGAAACATCACTAAATCCTTTTATATCTATTTGTTTTTTCGTCGTTTTTTCTCTCTGAAGAGTTTATGTGCGGGTGTTTGTTGTCTGGGGTGGTAGTGCTACTAATACCAGAGCAATGAGTCGGATTAGGCTCGAGGAGGGAGCGACAGAGCTCTCAGTAAAGATGCTTCATTGTTTTATGTTTTGAATAAGTTTGTTCCTGTTGGGGGCATCCTTTTTTGCCGAGATGAAAACTCTCACAGACTCGCACACATACTGCTGCCTGCTAATTTCACACTTGTAGCTTTCTTGCATCTCTTACTTTGAAATTCACAAATAGTACATATTGTGTTATAGAAGGGAGGAAAACTAACAGAGATTTAGAGAGTTTATTGCTTATAACTCGTTCTTGAAAGACACTGTTTTTCCTAAATTTATTTAGGAAGTAATTCTTTTTCAGAAAAAATAAAATTACTAGTCCATCACTCAATTGCACTGAAACCAGTGAAGCGTATCTTGTATGTATGTCTCAATTCATATAAAGACCAAATTGATCACACTGTCAGGTGATCTCTTTAAACAACCTTTTAAGTAGTCATGGACCTGGGCCCGGCCGGGCTTTTTTATGGGAAGGAAGGCCCAGGACTGGCCCGGGTAGCCACCGGGTCCGGGCCATGCCGGGCCTCCGTTTTTTTTTGCTTTCCTAACCCCCCCAAACCCCCCAAACCCCTCCTAACCGTCAAGCCTAACCCGGGTGGAACCCCAAAAATGAAAAAAAAAAAAGAAATTAATTTGGCCCGGGCCTGAACCAGCTGGGCTGGGCCACCAAAAACTAGCCCCGAGCCCGGACCCGCCCCCCCACCGATTCGGTGCCCGAGCCGGACCCGGACCCGAGAACCGGGCCCACGCAGTAGCGGGCCGGGCGGCCCGAACCGGGTCCGAGACTATTTTTAAGGGACAACAAACCTTGGACATGCTATAGTGACAAACTTTCTAAACCTTGCCTTTCAACAAACCTAAAAGAAAGCTCATCAATTCATATCATTTCTGCAAGAGCTCTCCTAATTAGAGTTTGGTCAAACACCCAGGTCCTTATAACCCCAGTAGTTTTTGGAGAGGTAGATTGAGTACTAATAGCTGGTTGGAAATTTAACATGGCTTGTCTTGTCTCTTTAGAATGAGTATTTTTTTAGACAACTAAACATGTGGTTTCTCAGAGAAGAAGTTCCATGTCTTTTGGACTCACAACAGTACACCTTAGCAAAATATATATCTTCCCTTCACAAAGGCTTCCTTACTATCATACATTTTGTGAAAGTGTTCCCATATCTTGGATCTAGGTTCAACCTGTTTCCTCTTTTGTCCACAACCAATAGTTAAAGCAATCTGCTCAGTGGTAGTGTTATGCTCTACATTTTGAGCTTCCACTGCAGGTTGTTGGGTTGGAGGAGGTTGAACACCAGATACAAATGTCTTGGGATTCTATCTAATTAGGAGAATTAGGAGAATATATATATATATATATATATACATACACGATAGTATATGGGTTCTATGCCTGTACAAAAAGACGTGGGTTCGGGTTTTCGGACGGGTCGGGTGGGTAAAATCCAAGTCCTACCCGGCCCATTTAATTTCGGCCTTTTCCATTTCGGTTTTTGGGTTGGTTGTTCGGGTAGGTTGACCTTACCCGGTCGGGTAAAATCCAAAATATCTGAAATTAATTTTGGGTTGGGTCGGATTTTTCTCAGCCCTATTTGAGATTGATAGCTACTGGAACGAAACCCCACAAGGCGCCACAATAGTTGACGCCTTTTAGACAGCGTCAACGATGAGGTCTCCCCGATGGCCAACTATAACGGTGTATCCGTCTGATCAATCACGCTGATTATCTGCAACGGAGACACAAATGGGGAATGAGGGAGGAATAACATGAATACGAAGATTGCATGGGCGGCATGAGCACGAAGACCGCTGACACACTGTCATCGTGTGTGTACCAAATTTAATTCAATACTAATCACTAATATATAGTATAACGAACTGAAGTTTGTATCCATAAGAAAATGTATTATTCTCATGTGAGTTTGTAACAAAAAGGGGTTTGAGACTTATATGAACTTGAAAAGATCAAAACACTCAAATGACTAAATTATTAGGGTAAATAGATCAATTGAGAATACCACATTGGTTTTGCTATATTTTACTTGCAATGAAATGCGAGTTGCTCACTGTTGGGATATTGGGCCGGAGCCCAAATACCCCGCACAAAGTAGCCAAGGGCCCAAGGAAAAGGGCAAGCCCAAATAGGAACTTGATCCAGACTTAAGGGACCCGAACGGGCAACTGGCCACCAAAGGAAGGACGCCGTTCGGTGCAGCCCGAACGGTTCAATTATCCTACTTGGGGGCCCGAACGGTTCAATTATCCTACTTGGGGCAAAAACAAACATTAGCTTTGCCCATCAGCCTGTGGAGTCTAGAGGCCGATCGGGAAGTTCACAAGTGGCAAGCTACATTAAATGCTAGAGTATGGCGGTAGCAAGTGGAAGCATGAGTGCTCAAGTGGCAACACCAACAGCCAACCGGGTTCGGCCACGTCATCACCCCACCTACCCCTCTTTTAGTATAAATAGGCGCATTAACTTCATTGTAAAGAGGTATCATTTTGATACTCAGAGCCTTAGATAGATTATCTCTCTCAATCTTGTATTAGCTACTGTTCCGGAGCGCTGTTCGGCCTCTTTCGTGTAATCAGCGAATTACTTTAATACAAGCGGGCTTACTGAGTGCAATCTATTCTCATTTTATATTTCAAACACTTTCACACCAAACCCATCGTCCTTAATATCCAAAGTTTATGTTGGGCTTTTGGATCTGCGGGACTTAACCTCAACACTCACAGTTATTACTTTAATTCTCTTCTCTTGAATATTTCATTGTGACGTACTAATCCTCATTTCGTCTATGGTTTTTATTACCATTGAGAAACATTCCTTAATAACTCTTACTATTAGGATGTTTTTTACTTGAGTTGTTTTCCGTTCTGGACCAGACGAAACCAAATCAGAGCAGACTTAAACGAATTAGACTTCGACAGTTATAAAAACACAGAGACTAGAGAGTTACCAGACAAATTCAAAGACGTGACCATAATAGATCAGACTTAAACAAACAAGACCAGACCAAAAGATTCCAGTCCAATTAAAAACATCGTTAGTCAATATAGAACACACATTTTATATTGACCCGATAATAGTAATTAATCTTCCGATGAAATTAATTAAGATCAACAACCTCAATATAAGCGCGATTCAACCAATAAAATTAATCCTTGTATATACTATGAACCATGAGATGCATAAATGAGTTTGAATTTATTATTTGAAGAAATAATATAGAGGAGTAGTATATCCGTAATCAATTGCTCAAAGAGTACTGAAAATAATTGAGAAGAAAATGACAAGGAAATAAAATAAAGAGGGAAAAGATATAGAAGTCATAAGGAGCATTAACGAGCCATCTAATCTAAGGAAGTTGAAAGGTCTAAACGAGAGGTTTTAAATACCCGAACGAATTAAATTCAACGAAATGCGGAGTGCAATAACTCACAGCTGTCCACTATTCCATTTAATGCCGCCATTACTGACGGCCGGGCCCGCCAAATGGAAAGCAAAATGCTTCAAATCCTTTATTTCCCCATTATGATTTCGATTCTTTGTTTATTTCTTGGTTCCTTTCATTTATTGAATTCAATTACATCTTTAATGCGGGCTTAATTATTACGCTTACTGCTGGTTTATATAGAACGGGACTGCCTCTCCATATCCACTCGCTGCGCTCTTCAATTCGTCGTCTGCTTTCTCATCTCGCAAAATAAAAAACAGAATTCCGCCGTCATCAATGGCAGCTGATGTGAGCTCCCTGCTGAGGATGATGAGCGGTCGGGAATTGAATGAATCTGGTGGCGGCAAGTCAACGGCCCCCCCGATCACGAGGGACCTCCTTGGCGGGTGTTGCTCCCTTGACTCCAAGGAGTTGGACCTTGACTTGCAGGTTCCTTCTGGTTGGGAAAAGCGCCTCGACTTGAAGGTAAACACCTCTCTACCTACCTGCCTGATTGCCTTTCGATTGATGCTTCTTTTGCTTGTTTGGTGTGGGTTCCTCTCTGTTATTGGATTGAATAGCAGATTCCTTCCAGCCTCATGCCTGGTTTATTTTGGGGTTGCATGAAAGATTCAATCTTTAGCGTAGTTTGTTGGAGTGTAGCTTTGATTTTGGCATTAGATTGGCGGATTAATTGCTAATACTAGATGGCCCGGTAGTGTTTTTAAATTCATGATTCAGTCATTCTCTTTCTTTATGAAAAAGCAGTATTCAATTCTTGGAGCATTAAAGGTTTGATGATTGCGATACTATAGATGAACACGCGTACTTGTTCTGGCCTGTGGAAGAACGCGATTCTGTGTATATTTTATCAAGTCAATTAATTGGTTTGAGATGATTAGTCTCCTTAGTTTAATCATCTTAAACTAAGGAGACTAATCATCTCAAACCAATTAATCATCTTAAACTAAGGAGACTAATAATCTTAGTTTAAGATGATTAATTGGTTTGAGATGATTAGTCTCCTTAGTTTAAGATGATTAGTCCCCTTAGGGCATCCTCATTGGAAGGATTATTAAGAGATTAAATTGATGACATGGCGGATTTTTTGGAGGAGTATCATTGAGAGAAATTGATTATTTAATGAGATTATTTGCTAGAATAATCCGGGATCAAAATATGAATCCGGATTATTTTAAGATTATTTGAAAAGTATATGTAATACGTTAATGCATGGCTAAGAAAAAAGCGGATTATTTGAAGATGATGGTTGAGATGCATAAACGGATTTTGAGATTAATTAAAAATTAATTATGTAACAATATTTAAAAGGTAAGAATCATAGAATATAATGATTTTTAGAGATTACGAATGGTGATGCTCTAAGGAAAAAAAGACAGGAGCCCTTCTTGGTTAGTCTCCTTAATTTAAGGAAAAAAGACAGGAGCCCTTCTTGGTTAGTCTCCTTACAGAGCCAATCGATCATGTATGGTTTTCTGCTCGCCTATTGTGCTATAAACAATGTGAAAAATGAAAAGTAGAGCTGCTACTTTTGCCTGCTTTATTAGTTAATGCTTTGATCGTTGGTTAATTCTCTATGCCTTTAGTGTTCTTGCCATGGACCCTTTTGAGTAAGAAAAGAAAGAGGTGGGTTTTGGTCTGCTTTGAGAATCTATGTGTATGGGTGGATATGTTGATTAATATGATGTATCATCTATGTATCAGTCAGGGAAGGTGTATCTCGAGAGGTCCAATTCGTCGCTGAGATTGGGAGAAAAGAAGAATGAGAGATGGTGGGATGGAAAGATGCAGCAAGACCTCAACTTTCCACCATCGTCGTCCTTGTCCCCCTCTTCGAAGGCAGGGAAAGTTGAGAGGACGTTGTTAGAGTTGAAGCTGGTGAATTCTGCACCGCAGCTGCCACCGTGCCAACAACAGCAGCTGCCAAGCGTGTGCACCCTGGAGAAAGTCAAATCCGCGCTTGAACGGGTGGTGGAGAAGGAGGAATCAAGCAGCAGCAGCGGCGGCAGGAAGCGAGCCATCTCGCTCTCCAACTCATCTTCCTCGCCCCCGCTCTCCCATTCTCGAGATTATTATGAAGTTGATCTCCATCAACAGAACGCCAGCAGCAGCAGTCATTGTACGAGTAGTGAATCTGCTGCTGCTTCTTCATCATTTGCTGCCGGCTGCCCTTGTTGTTTGCTCTATGTTATCATCTCAAAGAGCAGTCCTAGATGCCCTAGATGTAACACTATCGTTACTTCCCCGACCCTCAATAACAAAAAGCCTCGCATAGATCTTAACATTTCTATTTAATTTTAAAAATCATCACATATACTATATCATATGTAAGGGTGTCTGTTCGGGTCATTTTTTGTTTTGCTTCTGCTTTTACTTTTAGTTTGTAAGGATATATAGATCAATATATATTTATAAATTTATGTATATATACAGTAATATCTGCAATTGAATATAGAACATTATATAGAAGCTTAATCGCTTTGCACTGCTTTGTTGAAAGGGTGGTAGATGAAACCATAGGTTCTATACATTTCATCTTTGAAATCCAGAAATGTCATTTTCTTCTAGCTGTTAGTTGGTCTTACTCCTCTTTAAACTACTCTTCTTCTTTTAATGAACGGACCTGAATATTAACTTCATGGTTTAGATGACCGACCGACTGTCCATTCATCTGGGCAGTTGGTAGATTAATTCCTCCACGCTCACTACATTCATCTGGGCAGTTGGTACACTAATAAATTTGATGAAAATTTATCAAATTTTCATACTCCGGATTTAGTAGTTCATATCTATTTCACAATACGTGATTAAAGTCATTTTCCCCTCATCTACACAAATTTCAATCTTATTATTTTTACTTTATTATTAGAGCGTCTCTAACACTACAATGTGTACGGTGCCCATGTAGCATGAGACACACACACAACACACACAATCATTTGTAAGAAAAATATCTTTCTCCTTATTTAGATGGTCTTATACGTTTTTGGAAAAATGTCTATATATAGACATCGTGATTGACATTATTATCAAAATTATATAAAACCGTGGAAAGAAGAAGAGAGAAATGTCAATGATTTATTTTTATGTGTCTATCTTTCTCATGTCACATGTGCACCGTGCACATTGTAGCATTAAAGGTGTTCTTACACCTGACATTGACAAAGTTTTATGCGTTGAATCGCCAAAGGTAAAATTTTTAGCTGTGCTTTTTGCTGGAGAGTGTATATTCTCATAAAAATTCCTTTGACCATTCAATATTAGTTATATGACATGATATGTAAGTTAAGTTACGAGACAAATTAGGGGGTGTTTGGATCTGATTTTCACAACTGATTCTGCTCCTTCCGGGAGCAGAAACAGAAGCTGGAGTGTTTGGGTGAAATTCCAGAATGCTCTAATTTACTCTCAAAATCAGTTTTTAGAAGCTGGGGGTACCAGTTTCGGAAAACTGATTCTGATTCTGCTTCTGATTTAAAAAAGAAGCAGAAGCAAAATCAATTCCAAACACCCCCTTAGTATATATCCTGGACTATATCAACTAATTTTCTCGTATTTTGGCGCATGGTTGCATCTTGCTCACATAAATGGTTGATGTTTTAGCAGCCGCTAAGGAAGGTTCAAATTGTAGAGTTTATTAAGAAATGGTTTTCATGTATTTCTTTGAAAGTAATTACGGTCGGGATTGAAAAATTCTTCTATTCAACACCAAGAACAGAATTACAAGGGGAGTCATGCTCACTCAACTACAAGAAACCAATTCTCACTAATGCATTTCTTCTCTAAGTGTATATCACTCTACACACTTATTCTCACTTTATGAACTGACGATAATAAAAAACAACAATTTTTTATTATTTAAAGAACAGGTTTGGAGCTATTTTCTCCATATCTAGTGAGTCATTTTCTCCATATCTTCTACCATACCTATTTTTTGGAGCTCTTTCCAAGAAGGTGCCTCCATGTGTAGGTGTTTCTTGGCAACTTTCAAGAAAGAAGGTGGAACCTTACAAATTTCACCCCCACCTTTTCGTTATTTCTCTCATTATAGCAATCTCTTTGCCCCCCCCCCAAATGGAAACAAGTATCCATTCACATGTTGAGTATTTTCTCTATGCAACTATGCCTCACATAGAACCTCAAACTTGGATACCTTCAACTGCATCTTCAGGTGAAGGCCCCTTAACAAAGAATCTCATCACCGTGAACATCATTAACATCTACTGGCCCATCATTCTCTTGTTCAACAGTATCATGCATTTCCTCGTTGCTTAGATAAATGTTTGATAATACAGCCATGTTGTTTGTGGATTATTGGAGCAAACTCATGAAACTAGTTTTAATGAAATACATCTTTAATTCGAATAACTCAGGGCCGGTCCTGATATAGGGACAAGCTGGGCGGTTGCTCAGGGCCCACCAGGAAGAGGGGCCCATAAATTATTTAGTAGTAGTATATATATGTATTGAGCCTCGTTCACCTCAAGTGCACTTGATCGAGAGTTCTGTACGGCCAAACCTATTTGAGGTGCTTGCGGATGAAATTGTTTGATGAAATTTGTGAGCATGTTTTTCATTAAATGTAGATTACATTCACAAAATATCAGCTTAAAATTCAACTAGGAAGTCTGTTAAATAAACTATTGAAAAATAGTGAGCTTTATGTATGTTTAAAAAGCGCAGTGTTTTTGAATAATTTATTTAACTAACTTCTCAATCGAGTCCGAAACCATTTTTTGTGTAAATAATCCAATCTTTATGAAGAACATCCTCACTTTTTTAATAAAAAAATTCGACCTGAAAGCTCCTCAAACGGACTTGTTTGTACGGGGGCATCTTGTCAGGCGCGCCTGACCAGATCATTTCCCTACACTCTAATATTTCGTAAAAGATATCCCTCAACTTCCATATTCGTAGACATAGCCACAACGGCAGAGCTACACATGAAACTCGATCAGATGACTTTCTACCTTCCTCATAGATGTTGAGAATTAAAAATTGATAGTATTATTGACAATTTTGCTTCTAAGAATGCTTAAAAATTGTTTTGTATGACTTATGATACCGAGTAGTTCTATGAGCAAAAACATTTACTTGTGTAACAAATTTTATTTTTGAGAGTAAAACTTTTGTAAAACATTCTTACAACATACTCCCTTCGTCCAGAATTATAAGGCACTTTACGGTTTACGATGTTTGATCGACGATAAAGCAAATTGATCCCTGTCAACACTCAAATTAGTTTTAGAAAATAAAATTTACATATTCAGAAACTACATTAAAATCGCTACAAAACCTACAAAAAATAATTCAAATTTCATAAAATTTTGATATATAAAGTAAGAGATCAAGAGTGATTTGTGTTAACCAAGTGAATATGAAAGATATCTTATAAAATGGGACCGAGGGAGTATATAACAAGAGGTTTATTTTTTGTCTTTTGCCCAGACCTGTGTATTGTCAGGACCGGCCTTGGAATAACTTTATTCACTTAAGGTTCTCACAACCAGTATATGAACTCTTGATCTCCATAGCAGATGAAAATGTATGCAGTTGACTTCAGATCAAACATCTGTCTCAACTACTTGGACACAAGTGTAAATGTCTTGCACCCGAAAACTTTCAAGTGAGAGTAAGAAATGTCTCTCCCCGACCAACTCTTCTTTGGACTTTCAAAGTTTACATGAATAGAAGGTAATCTGTTTATAAGATAACAAGCTGTCAGCACAACTTCACCCCAGAATGGCTTGGGTAGTTTAGCCATACCGAGCACACAACAAACTTTTTCACAATGGTTCGATTCATTCTTTCAGCTGCACCATTTTTTTGTGGGGTTCGTGAAACCATCATCCCATGTCTGATTCTCTATGTAACGCAATATGCCGAGAATTCCCACGAAGTGTACTCTCCTCCATTGTCAGAACGTAGACACTTCAACTTCTTCCTTGTTTCTCTTTCTACAATGGGATGAAATAATTTGAAACGATCAAACACTTGAACCTTACTTTTTGGACACTAAGCCCATACCTTTCGTTATGCATCATCAATGAATGTCACAAAATATGTACTTCCTCCAACTGACTCCTCTGTAATGGGTCCACACACATTAGAGTGGATAGGACTGAGTAATTAAGAATGGTTCTTTCTGGTGGAACTGAAGGAATCTTGAAGTTGTTTCTTGAATAGATAATGCTTGCATGGATCCAAGACAACATCTTTGTCAATGGAAATTCCTTCTTTCTTAGCAATAGTTGTCAGTCCCTTCACGTCAAATGGCCCAATCTCTGATGCCACATGATGATATCTCTTCTTCAACAACATTGAGACTTAAGCGACACAACTTTACATGATTTCTATAAAGAGTACCACAAATGTGACCTCTTTCAACAATCAAGGAACATTTAGATAACTTTCGTGCACCTTCTTTGAATTGATTATCATATTGTAGTAATTGAGGTTAATTTAATAGAATTAATAATACTACTTATACACAAAAGGTGCATTTCCTTTTAAGGGATCTCATATAATAAGAACTCCAAATTAATTGTGCTTGTATGAGAGTAGTCTCTAGATGGGTGACCCCCTTGGGAGGTCTCTGAGAGCACGCATGAGTGATGAAAAAACACACAATAAAAGGTTTGTGTTGGTTTGAGAGGACAATACTAGGTCATGAGTATTTGTAGAAGTAACTACATTGGGCTTTGTGAGGTCAAGGCATTACAAGTGTTATCAGAGCGATCTTGCGATAGTGTGTTGATCTAGTGGATATCAGACGAACACTTAGATAGAGAGGATTGTCTTACAAGCGTAACGAGGACGTTGTGTTCCTAAGTGGGGGTGATTGTAATACTCGAGATTAATTAAAAAGATTACCAGTACTACTCATACCAACAAAGTGCGTCTCATTTTAAGGGAGCTCATATGCTAAGAACTTCAAGTTAAATGTGTTTGCACGAAAGTTGTCTTAGGATGGGTGACCCCCATGGGAAGTCTTTTAGGGCGCACATGAGTGAGTACAAACTTTGCGATAAAAGGCTCGTGTTGATATGTGAGGATACTACTAGGTCAGGAGAGTATGTAGGAGTAACTACCTTGGACCTTGCGAGGTCGGGGTGTTACACATATTCCTGATTATCCAAAGCTACATTGGAGATAAGATTTAATCAGATATCCAGAACATCTCAAACATCTTTCAATTCAACACAAGTATTTATCTGACATTGATTCTTATGTGTACATCACCAATGTTATTCAAATTAAGTCTTTGAGAAACTGTTGTTCCCATCTTCACGACTCAAAAGTCTTTAGGCTTATTTGTTGTGGAGTGGCGCGAAATGATGCTGCCGTATCAACCATCCACTCAACATTATGTGTACCTACGTGAAGATGTTCGTGATCACCATATGTAATAATTTAGAGGTCTGATGCCATACTGACTATAATCTCACCATCTTCTAGGCTCATATTTTGACTCGATTGAGGTTGCCCTCGTAGAAACTTTCTATATTCTGTTTTTCTATGCCCATAGTGACAACAATGATTGCAATATCCTTCAAACCAAGTATTG